GAATACGCACATAAAATTTGAGACAAAGACTGGAAAATATTATTCATCAAAACTAAAGCTAGTAATATTTAGCATACAAGGGCTGGATTAGCCATCTATGGAAACCTACTTTGAAGAATCCTACTTTGAAGAGGCATGGAATATTTCCTAAAATTCACAAAATGTACCCAATTTTTGCACACTTATTTAATTTTATATATCTTGTTATTAATAGTTAAGTATACAGCTATCCTCTAAGAAAAGAATTCCCAAAGGTTATAATTTCAAACTCTTTTGATAATGGAGACTATTCAGTTATGCCATTCTGAAACTAGTTTTGTTGAATTCATACGGTTTGTAAAATAGAGGCAATGTCTATTGTAAAAAGTAACAGAATTCTCAAAGAAAGGAACAGAAACTATTTCAGCAACACTACTCTCGGTTGCTTACTTCCATTATAAAACTAATTATTGAATTCCAGGCATAATTTTGTGTTAAGCAATTTTTGGTATTCTAAGACATTTCATTAACATACGTATCCAAGCATTATTTTCTAGACAAAATATTCTAGTTAAATTTAACTTGCTAAAGATCCCTAGCTTTGGTTATATATATTGCAGTCTTCCTATCTTCCTCTGTCATCATGCCTCTAGGGACTTTCAAAAAACTTTATTACCACCTTCTAAGGTGGCAGACAGCTACTCTCAATGGAGACTGATGGAGTCCATTTTCTGTATTGAGGTTATCCAGAGTAGCCTGAGCAATGAAAAGTTCAGGGTAACATGCTTTGTCCAAATTGACATCTACCTTTCAGAATAGCCAGGAAATCAACTGACTTTGGCTGCTTCTCTAACAAGACTGAAGTGTTATTTGGTTTTATCGAGATACTCACTCACATTCTCACCCTGTTCCTTTGCCTCACAATGCAAAGACCAAATTACTTCTAGTGAAACACTGATACATCCATCTTTGCTATTTAATCACCTAGGAATTAAGTTATACCCTGTGAATCTGTAACATGCCTCAGTGATTGAATTTCTGTACTTCTTTTGATTTCAAATTGAAGTCAAATAATCCTTATAAAAGTTCAAATGAATAGGTTAGGAAGAATACTTTAGGAATGTACATATTTCTAAGTGTAAACTAATATATTACACTAAAAACACAAGTCAAAGATCTAGGTTCAAAGCTTATTTCAAAACCTATTAGTTATGTGAACTGACAAATAACCAAATTCACCATCATTTACTTATCTAATAACTGAGGAAATGCTTTAGGGTTGTTTATAACACTAAGAAAGATGAATTATGTAAAGGGCTTAGCGCAGAGTATGTCATGAGTGTGCAAGTGTTCAAAAAAGGACACATTTTATTATCATTTTCCCACTTATAAATTTCATCTGAGACAATAACAGTTCTACAAAACCTTACAGTACCGTATTTAAGATGTTTACCACGTTTCAGTTTAAATAGTAGCCTTTTCTATTTTGTCATGAAGTTTGATTTACTTTTTTTAACTTTTACATTTTTAATGTTTGAACGAGGTTTTCTTTAAAACTATGAAAACAACACAAGCAACAAACAAAATAACAAAAATGTACAAAAAAAAAAAAAAAAAACTATTCAACACCCTTATGTCCAGGGCAAACAATAGCAATACACTGGCTTTTATGCTACATACATTTCTCTTTATTTACATAATCACAATATGAAATGGATGTGTATGCCTACAGTCTAGTACAGTGACATCAAACCTTTTAGAGATTTCAATAATACGAACAGCTCACTGCAGCACATGTGCCATAGGTTCGCCACTACTGAATGTAGTCCTATACATATCTCTACGTTCATATGAATGAATATCCAAACTTATATGAATGTGTTGCCTAATTGGTGCAAAAATGTAATTATACTAATCATATTAAGCTCATGACTTTGTTTTTTTTTTTTTACTTGACAAAAACACATGAATATCTTTTAGGTCAAAACTTCTAGCAGCTAATAATCTTTCTATAATTGCATAATAATCCATAGCATGAATAAAGGACCAAGTAATCCAGTACACTTTTAGAGGATATTTTCAATTTCTTTATGCTCCTATAATCAGCCTAATGAAATGAAACTTTGTTCAAATAAACTTACTTTCTTGTTTTTATATAATAGGTGCTAAGTGAGATATTATTGTCACTAACTACTGTTAAAAATACTATACATTTATTGTCTCATTTGATCTCAATACAATCTGAGAAGGCACAATTATTACTAGTAATTTAAAGGTGATGAAGTTTAGGTAAATATTTGTCTACGGTCCAAGTTAGCTAAGTGGTATACTGGAGAGTTCAACCCTGGCAGTGTGTCCTCTAATACTTCGTCTTCATACAGCTCTGAAATTGCTTGCTCCCTTCCCCCAGAGTTAACACGTGCAGCTTTTTCCTGATAATTTCTATACAATAGCCAAAGTCTTTTATTGTACCCCACAGAATCACTCATCTAATGATGAGAAATCACTAGTAGGCAGTTGCTTCCTTGATATATAGATCTTACCTTGTTTATTTCCAAACACATTTGACCGTGTTCAATATACTCTGAAAAATCCTTTACATGTGGACTTTGCTTATCTTAAAGACTGTCTCTCTTCAAACATTTTGCGGCAGTTGGGATGTAGAAATACATATGTATTGGTGGTGAAGGGAAAGGAGTTCGGGTGGGGTGTGCCTGCTAACAACTAAACAATCTGTAACAGCTGCTCCTACGGACAAGTCAGCTTTGAGTCATGATATTATCTTTTGGATTCTAAACTGAGAGAAGAGTAAGAAATGATAAATGATAAATATTGTCCTGATGCCAGCGCTGTATTTCAGGAGACAGAATAACACAGAACTCTGGGAAAGAATTTCTTGCCACTTAGCTGTGGGTAGTGATTTGGCCAAGAAAGCACCTGGGGTTGAAGCTTCAAGAAACTGGGACTGAAGAGGATCCATGTTCTAGATAATAAATTCTGCACCTGAAGAGCCACTAGCAAGTTTCATAACCACCCTATGTGATGTTCGAGTGGCATCACTGCTCCTCTGGCATCAAGTTCTCAGGGTTCCTCTGAGAAATCAGAGGGGAGTGATTTGTATTGAAAACCTCTTGCCTTGGGGAAAGCAAACTCCCACTGAAGAACAAAGGCACAGAGGTGGAGGACAGTGCTGCACTGGAATAGCACGGCTCCACTGAACTACCTCTGAAGTCCATCGCAAGATTTAGGAGCTTTGAGTTCTATAACTTCAGGATAAAGATAAAATCAAGTTAGTGGAAAAGATCGGTTCAAGTGGGATAAATAGTGGCTAGAAATGGCTAACGTTTGTAAACTTTTGAGCTTAAACTTCTAAGACGTTAGCCTATGCTACATAGCTAATTTTATACATGCTCCTCTGCTGAGCAATTAAATATGCAGAAGTACGATCAGATCTACTCTAGGCCAGAGGGAAGAAATACACTTTTTAAAAATTTTGAAAACTTTATTTTAAAGAGGGTAAAACGAAACGTAACAAAACAGGACAAAGTAGATCAGAAGAAAATAATGTAAGTGACACAGATTTCAAAGCAAGACAACGGGACATCTACAATGGCTACCATAATGTCTCTTGTTTTCTTCTAAATAGTTGTCCATATCTTCACACACAGTGAATTCATACAAAACAAAATAGTATTAAACCTATCAGAACAGAGTGATGAAGGCATTATAGGTCTTCAATAGGAAAATCAAACAATGACTGCCATAATGTCTCTTATTCTTTTCAAAATAGCTGCCCTCATGTATGTTGAAATTAAAAATACAAAAATAGACAAAAGCCACTCTGAACAGAGAATAATAACATTACTGGATTTCACAGCATGATGATACTGAATCAGCAATGCATACTATAATGTCTCTTTTTCTTCAAATTAGCTGTTCATTTCATCATGCATAATATAATCCATTGTTGTAAACTGTTCAGAAGTTCTCTGCATGTATAAGCCTCTACATGTACACCTATCCTTTCTGTATTAGAGTGGAAAACAAAACAAAACAAACAAATTACTAGAAAACACAAAACAAAACAAAACGATAACAACAACAAAGAGCCCGAAACAATGACGATACAGGCTTTCAAAATAAGGTGGTAGGAGCATAATGGGTTGTTATTTTACATAATGATTTTCAGGAGTGCCTCAGATCACTAGACTCTAACATTCAAAATTGTTCCAATCTTATGAATGTAAATTGAGCATATTCCCAGAAGATTTGAAAACAGCATACCACCTTGATATATGTGCACCCATGTTTATAGCAGCACAATTTGTAATAGCCAGTTCTTGGAAACAACCTAAATGCCCATCAACTGAGGAATGGATAAAAAAGATGTGGTATTTTTATATAATGGAGTACTACTCAACTATAAAGAATGTTTACATTGAGATATTTATAAATAAATGGATGCAATTTGAGACCATACTCATAAGTGAAATAAGTAAACTCACATGTGTAAATATCGTGTTGTCTCCCTAGTGTAAGAAATGGTAAGAGTGCATAAGATAAAAAATCCTCAATAAATACAGTGAAAGGATAAGGATCTGCTTAAAGGGGAAAAATAATATCTCAGGGAAAAGAAAAAAATATTTAAAATTGTATAAACACTCTTAGGATAGCTAAGATGATTATTCTACAAATTCTGTAAGTACTTGAAAGAAACATACTTAGAGAAGGTATCCTAACTTATTTTCAGACTGCAGAGACCACCAAAGGCCTCTCTCCATAGGAGAAACAACCCTCCCTAACCCCACTGCCTGCTTGGAACCATACAGTAGGTCAAAAACTGCGAGGATGGTCCGCTGTGGGCAGGTACCTCGCGTGGGCAGATGGGGCGGGCCGGCCTGGGGAGCAGCGGAGCCTGCGGAGCCCAGCAGCCCGGCTGAGGCCCTCCCGCCACCTGGCCTCCGCGCTCGGGGCTCGGTGCGCGCGCCCTTCGCCCGCTGGCCCTCGGCCTGCTCACTCACTCACGGTCCGGGACACCTTCAGCTCCTGATTAAGCCACTGGCAGAGGATCTCCGACATGGTTCGCCGCCTCTGACAGCAAGCAGGTGCTAGGAACTCGCCGGCAACCAGCTGTTCGTCTGGCGTCCTCCTGTTTCCCAGGGCAACCCGTTGCTAAGGAAGCGTGACAGACTCAAGAGGGAACGCCAGAGCTCCGCCGCAGGGGACCAGAATCGTCGCCTGCCCCCTGCTGGCGGGTGAGACCTGAGCATGCGCAAACTTGGGAGCCCGCCAAGGGTCTGGCAGCAACTATCAAACAAAATAAAAGACTTCTTTTCTCTTCTTTCTCTGTTCTTTTCTTTTCTTTACTGTTCTGTTCTGTCCTTTTCTTTCTTTTCTGTTCTGTTCGGTTCCTTTTTTTCTTTTCTTTTCCATTCTGTTCTGTTCTTCCTTCTCTTCTTGAAAGGATTGCCTGCTATTTTAATTATAAGTCCTTATTTCTCTTTAGTAAATAATGTAGGGGCAACTGCAAAGAGGTATTTTGACACCACAACCTGGTGCTGTCTACTGATATGAAATTTTTTAAAAAGACCTAATGATTTAAAACATTAACTGTGACACTTTACATGATGGAAGCTCTATCAATAAAGGACAACTTTGTAATCAGATAAGCTTGGGTACTGATGCCTGATTTTTCAAATCTGGTTAGCTGGCTTTTGACTTCAGAAAAACTACTTAACCACATTGTTGTGAAACTCAACTTCCACAAAAATATTTGTGTCACAGAGTTGTCAGCATTAAGTGAAAAAATAAATGCGTTAGTTCATGGTTCATAGTAGAAGTTTAGCATACTTTTTTGTGAATTTTTGCATTTTATTATAGTTGGCTGAATTTTTAATAGCTTAGAGTTGCTTATATTTCAAAAGTTTTTGAGGAAATTTCAAATAGCTTCTTTGACTTTATGACTAATTTTCTATTTATTCACACCTAAGTAAAGATTCATAGGCAGAATTTTTTAAATCTTATTTGTTCCTACACATAAACCTTCTGCTCATTTCTTCATCTTAGATTTCTCTCTCCTCATTTTAGATTATTTTCTTATTATCTCACAGGATGTTTTACAATGACCTTGCTTGCTTGCTGTTCAGGGATGCGACAGATGTTTGTCCTTGTGAACACAATAGCTATCAATCTGAGCGTCCTTGTCTCTTCTTTTTTTCCATCTCGTGAAACTGATACAATTCCTATTCTCAAATCCCTGCTCTGTTGCTCCGCTCAGGCATTTCTGTGTATTCCACTAGAGCAGGGCATCCCTTTATCCAGTGCATGTGATTCTTTCAGTGGTAAATGCAGAATCTTCACATAAAACAGTGTTATAAACTTAAATTGGGTATATTACAATGGTAAACACACATTTACCCCTTTGGGTATTTTGGGAAGAGGCAGGGAACATTTTTGCCTCATGGAAAAGAATTATTTATGTTTTAATATTCATTTATTTGTAATTTATTAATATATATATTTGATACATAATAATCACAGCCATCTTGGGGGTCTTGTACGTATACAGCTCACATCTTGATCATTTTTACTTCCCTTTCCCTGCCCTTCTCTCCCTGTGCCCTTCTTTCCTAGATTCCCTTCCCATCTCCACAAAGTCTACCTCCATGTTTCCTGTCATACCTCTATTATTTTAAGTTATTTATATTCAATTTCTCAAATAAAAGAAATCATGAGATATTTAACTTTGTCTGATTTATTTTACTTAGCATTACAGTGTCCATATGGATCCATTTACCTATAAATGACTCAAATTTAACCTTCTTCATGGCTGATTAATATATATATATGCCTATTCAATAACATTTCAATCTGGAGGATAAAGACCCCATTGAAAATTCTTTATAATAACCTCTATCCAACCTTAATGATAAACCACAAACTTTCTTTGCAATCTGGTTCTATTTCTCTCCCAGGTCCAAATCTGCCTGTCTTAACACCTGTCTTCCATTCTTCCTTTATGTCTTAGTTACTTTCTCATTGCTCACACAAAATCCTCAACACCTACTAGCTAAAGGAGACATTCATTTTGGCTCACAGTTTGCAGAGGTTTCAGTTTACAGTTGGCTCCTTCCAAGACAGGGAGGCATGGTGAAGGGCGGGGTAGAGGAGAAACAGTCTTCGGTGTGGCAGTGGGAAGCAAAAAGAGATCAATGGTGTAGGAAAGATCTGGACTTCCAGGCCACAGCCCTAGGGAACCACCTTCTCATCAAGTTTCACCTCCCAACATCACACCCATCTGAGAACCCACCAGATGACTAATCTCGGGTAAATACTTAAATTTCCAAATTCAGAAAAAAGTTGGATTTGGAACCGAATTGTTAAAAAATCAAACATGACTTGATTCTATATAAAAAGGAATCATATATTCTCTGAGATATATAAGCAAAATTTTACCAGAATTTTTGTTCTAATTTCTTATTTCTTCTTCCTTATTCTGATTCTTTATTTCTCTTATGTTGAAATTTCAGAAGATATGTCATTTAAATCTGCTGATTTTAATCTAATTTTATATTTTGTCTGTGAAATTTTGATCCCTAAACTTTTCATGTCTTACTTTTCTCTTCCATAACAAAGAACTTAAATAGTACTAATAAGCCTTCTTAGTTTAGGTGACTATATATAATCAAATTATTCATATAGCAACACCGAATTTGCACAAGTAGTATACAAATATTATTTCTTTCCCAGATTATGCTTCTCTGCAAATTGAATCTTGATATTTGCCAAGTACTGCAACTAACTTCTCTGCACTTTAAGAAATATTTTCCAGACAATGTATGCCTTCATAAGTAATTCATAAGTCATTATCCACTATACTTCTATTATTCATATTTACTACTATTTCAGTATCTCAACAATTCAGCCTGCATTTCTGAATATATATGACAGACTAATCTTATTACACATTGTTATTTTTCCTATCTTTGAAGTTACAGTGTTTCCTCGTTTCCTATTTATTGGCCATAATTTCCAGTTACTTTTTAATTCAGTTCTGTTCTATTAGTCTCTAATCCTGCACATTCTGTAATAAGTAACAATGTGCCATGTTAGTTTCTGATGCTCTTCTTTCTGACCAGGTATGCAAAGTCTATTTTTTAATTCAAGTCCTTTCCCAAAAATTGTCTTCAATATTCCTTTTAACAGCACTTTCCTCTCAACTGCAGAGAGAGCTGAGACGTACCAGTAGAATCCAAGCTATGTTAATATAATTGTGTTTCATTTCCATATACCCAGAAGTCAAAACTTGTGTGAAGTCGCTGACGTTCTATCTCAGTCAAAATGATCACTCAGTAAATGCTGTGGCATGAATCAATGCATGCCAATGGGGCTTTTAGCACACCACCTATTTTAGCGTCTTTGTATTATATTGTAAAATTCAATATTCTTTAGTGTGATGGGTTGGATCTGAGGGTCCAATTCCTCTAAACTTAGGAAAATGATGATCACCATAAAGCAGGTGAACACTGGAAATTCTAATGTTTGCTTTCAGTTATGGCTATGATGGGATGAGATATATCAGACTTTCTATCATGTGGGACTCAAGTATATAATTGGAAAAATACACACAGCAAGAGTTTAGGTAATGGAAATGTAGTGCATATTCATCTCAGCTTTCTTTGGGGGTTAAATTTTCTGATCAGAGCTTAAAGAAATGAGTACCAAATACAACACAAGGGTCTGTCTCACTGTGCAAAAGAAATAGAAACTGGAATTTGAGGCTTCTCAAATTTGGAGGTGAGGTAATACAAAGAAGATGGAACTGGAAGGGTAAGATAATGGAGACGCGCGTACTATGTAGAAAACGAGTTCTGGACGTCAGTTCAAGAGCTCCTCGACTCCGGTCAAATACAAAGCTGCTCAGGAAAAGGGATACAGCAAGATATTTTGAGATTTTGAATGCTGTACATTTCTAGGAGTCACTGGAGGTCCAACCTGTAAGAGCGGAGGAAAATCAATGTACTCTCAGAATATTCAGGTAAAAATTCAGAAAGCGCTCCTTTTTCCCCACAGCTGGGCCAGATTTGTCATTGCATGTTTTCTTGATGATCGCCATAGTTTCTGGAGAAAGATGAAACCTCGGTGTTGTAGAATGAGAATGTAACCTAGTTCAATAATTATGGGAATCAGTACAAAGATTCCTCGGAAGACTAAAGAATACAATTTCCATTTGACCCAGCTATTCTCTATCTAGGTGTCTTCCCAAAAGAATAAAGTATTACAGTGATATATGTATTCTCGTGTTTATAACAGTACAATTCATAATAGCTAAATCTTGGAAGTGGCCTATACATCTGTTAACAGATTAATGGATAAAGAATGTGTGGCACTGAAGAGGAAAACAGAGACTTAACTTTTTAGAATTAAAATTTCCTGCAACTAACTGCTCCCCTGAACAGATTTATCTTCCTGTCTCTTACCAATATCAGGTACATATTTCCCTTATCTACCAAACATACGTTGAACTCCTATGTAATCTCAAGAACTTGCTTCCTGTAACTCTGAGCTTTCCTGGAGTTTCAACATACATAACTGCAACATATATGATGTCATTTTATTGTAGACCAATCAGTAATAATGAAATAAAATGTGACCAATCAATAACCACCAGATATTCTGCTTCTGTACTTTTGATTTGCTAGCAAGTCTCATATAAGCCCTAAACAACCAGAGATTGGAGCCTGATATTTTGTGAAGATTGAGTCCTTATCAGGCCCATCAATATAAATAAATCTAACCCCAAATTCTGGTGGACATTTTGGTATTTTTTCTTTGCTGTGCAATGTTTATACAAAATAGAGTACTACTCTGCCATAAAGAAGAATAAGTTTGAGTCATTTATAGGAAAATAAATGCACCTTGAATTCTTAATATTAAGTGAAATAAATCAACACAAGTTCAAAAATAGTATGTTTGCTCTTATATGAAGAATCCAAAGTGTAAATAAATCAGTGAAATAAAATGAAAGCTAGATGTGAAGATAGGTTTTTGGCAAACGGGAAGGGGACTCAGAGATGGAGGGAGAGGGGTGTTAGAGGGAACGTATAAAGAACTAAGACAGGGCTGGAGATTTAGCTCAGCGGCATAAGCACCTGCCTTGCAAGCAGGCGGTCGTGAGTTTGATCCCTAGTA